ATTACTGTTTGGTCTGCAATCCCATAGACTCCGATTTGAAAGATGATTGCTATGCAGAATGCATCAACGGAGCAGCAAATAGATGTCGTGGGATGTCCGCAGAAGACTACGTCCAGAAGCGATTTCATGCATGCGCTCGATTGCTTCACAACTTCGGCATGGGGCAAACGGTATCTTCTCCCACCGTCATGATCTCCGAGATGAACCCGCACGTAGACTTGATGAAGTTCTTACACGAAGCGATGATCATCTTTAACGGGAACCCAGGTTTCCAGAAGGAGATCTCGTTCTTCGGGGGGATCAGGTTATCATCAACAATGACGGAGAACTTCTTCAAAACGAGGAGAGGACCCAGCATCCATGTGGAAAAGCAGATAGTCGGCAGCGCCAAGTACTACCAGGGATCCTATGACCTTGGAAACGTGTGCTACACCAAATACCTCAAGACCATATTGGAGCCCGATGTATTCCGCACTATGTTCGGAGATGATCCCACGGAGGAACGGGTAGGTGATATGGTGGAAGCGCTGCTGGGCATGTTAGAAATTGCTCAACTCTTCAGACACCTGTTCTTGGGATGGGGTGACATCGAGGCTTTGAGGACGGGATTAGAAGAATCCATCAAGCGCGTCACTGCATCGCTGTACGACAGGACAACGTATGAGAACCGAAAGCGATCGATGATCAGAACATTGGACCCGCACTCTGATGAGGCGGCAAACGTGGCACTGATTCTCGTTCGCATGAGGACCATGCCGCCTCCTGAATTCGACATCGACCACTTCTTCGAAATTGGGAAAGAACCAGAACAGGGAGCAGAAGCTACTGACCAGCCCGAGGCCGAAGGTGTCGATATGGAGACTGAATGTGAACAGGAGAAGGAGGAGCAAGACGTTGACATGTCCGACCCGAAGACATCAATACTGCAAGCCATCGACGAATTCGAGAAGAAGATCGGGCAAGCAGAATTCTGCATCCACTGCATGAAGTCGGGACACACAACTCTCAATTGCGAGAAGATCCCTTCATCTTCACCCACAGTCACCTCAGTGTTAAGATTGGAAGAAGAGAGTGAAGGGAGAGGTTGCGCCCGACGATGTACCATCCGGACATCCAACCGAGGAGCCTAAGAAGAAGAAGCAGAGAGCATCGCCTACTCCAGATAGGAAGGTCGACAGCGAGTTCAGGCGAAAAGAAATGTTGAAAGCAAGAGTCGTGACAATGTTCGACCATGACGGGTTCACCCTGATTGAAAGTGCCGATGGAGTCGAAGGAGGGACACATTCCTACAATGGGCGGAAGCTTGCGGAAGTAGGCCCTAGGGATATGAGGGTGGTGTACGAATTTGTTGAGAAGGCATTTGTGCACTCCAGTTCCCTCAAACCAAAGGCATGTCATCACTTCTATCCCCTACCGACACGGAGGGAGAAGGGATACAAGCCGATCGACCCCATGACGATGATCGGGAAAGTTGAGCTAGTACCGATCAACGGAGTCACTTTCGCTGCACAGAACTCCGACTACGGCAACCACAAGTATCCGACTCCAGACTGTCGAGTACCTGAATACAGCCAAGCGAGCCAGGCCCTGAGTCGTCGATTGGGAGCGAAGTTGAGGCATCGAATTGGACGCCAGTTCAGGACAGGAGGAAGACTCACACCAATCAAGTGCGATGAAGGCGCATGGGTGTCATGGGAAGATCTGTTAGGTGATAACGCAGTTTGGGAAGACGGTTATCACTATGGCAACATAGACATCGTGACCAAGAAGGCGCGTTTGGAGAAGTACTTCGACCAGAACTATGAGTGTTTCCGCATAACCAAGAGGATCAGATTCCAAATGTTGGCGGTCCGCGTGCGCCCTGATGAACTCAATGACCCTGATGACCCGATGGAGAAGGAATGGATTGACGAACTCAAGGGCATGGGAATCTCCAAAGGAAGACTCCACCATAGCGATGGATGGTGCTTTCCCGTGGCCGTAAGAGCAACCTCAGCACACTCAACGGACGGCGGAGGTTATGACGTTACCATCAACATCGACCATATTGGATCGAGAATGACCAACGACATGGCCCTATCTATGGTGACTGCATTTCACGCTACCAATCTTGGAGCGCTGAATTCAATCATGCGACGAGGGCTAGTGCCAGGAGGTCTCGGTTCATCGGGAAGGGATTCTATCCACTTCACGTGTTTTCCGCCATGGGCCTGGGAGCAGGGCTACAAGGGAAAACCTTGGCTGGGTCGTAAGGTCGCATTGAGTGATCGCCCAGTGGTTCTCTACATTCCGGTGTGGAAATTGCAGGAGTACGGGCTTCTCATCTCAGCGACTGGATCTCTATTGGTTGAGAACGTCGTTCCCTTCGATGAGGTTAAAGGGGCATGGTTGCAATGCGACAATGCAGAACCCGGACAGCCTGAGGAGATCGAATGGATCAGGTTACTCAATAGAGAACCCGACCCTGGAAGCTACCTTGTTCTGGAGTCCAAATACGGAAACCCGATCATGACTCCACGCTACCAAAAGCTTGAGAGTTTAGCGGTTGAGGTTCAGGACGATACCTACTCCGAGGACGACGCCAAAATCTCAAAGCTGTTGGGCATGATCGAGGAGAGTGGTGTCTACCCAGAATATGATAGCACCGAGTGGCAGGAAATCTTTGAGGAGATCGTGTACCGCCGAGCAATGAAAGACTATGACTCAAGACCGTGTCCTAACTGTCTTGGCGAAGTCGATGTGCGATTGACGATATGTCCGCACTGCGTAGCGGTTTTGATCGCGAATGGGAAGCTCACGCATGTGGTACCCAAGGAGACAAGGGACCGCAATCAACGATCACCTCCGAGAGATATCCCAGCCAGTTCTTCCGGTGAAGCAACTTCTGCTGCAGGTGCAAACATCGATGAAGTCATCAAGAATGCACGCAAGACAGCCGAAGAAGTCATTGAGGTCGAGGAATCCGAAGGAGAGGAAGAGGAGGAAGTTCCTATCATTTTGAAGGAACGACCGGACGAAGCTGAAGGCGAACCCGAATACCGGGAGGTCCCTCAAGATGGATACGGGAAGGAACTTCCGCAACCTTTCCCCTTCGCAATTGACGAATTGCCGCAAGAAGCTGCGATCCCCATCGACCACAACTTTGCAGTCACACAGCAATTTGATCTGAGGTTGATGAAGTTGATCAAGAGCTTGGCCAACGCAACGTTCGACATCAACTGTTTTGAGAGTCGCGAAGATGTGCTGCGAAAGTTCGACGATGGACAGCGGCATGACACTCCATACAATAGATGGCCAATAGTACCGAATGATCCGGATACTGGGTTTCCAAGACGCCTTCAGAGAGCCGAGGTCGTAGGCATGAGCAAATGGACCAACGACGTGTATGCAACAGAAGCGTGGCAGATCTATGAATTCCACGCCCACGTTATTCACCCGATGATGATCACTGCAATCCGCTGTGGGCTTAGCCACAAATACCTCAAAGAGGTCGGCAGCACTCGGCGTAACATGAGTGATCCAAAGGCTCGAAGATCTGAGACCCAGGAAGAGATCATCGAGAAACTGGCATTCATCTCAAATTTCATCAGACGCTTGATCAGGAAGACTTTCGGAGCGAGCCGATATAGTTACTACCAGAAACCAGATGACGAAGGTGCCGCTCCATACAAATTCATTGACATTAGCCCCGCCATCAAATCGGAGCGGAAGAATGTCACAAAGGAGATCCTCGTTGCATGCCGCTACTATGGCATAGAGGTATCCGATATTCAAGCACAGAAATTGAAGTTCTTCGAGGAGCAGATCCGAAGGGGAAACCCAAGGAACGTTGAGCTCATCAAGGACTACATTGGCTTTGTCGGAGCTGACTACATGCGACAACTCACGAATGGTTGAGCATTGGGGTCATACCGACATACTACTTCCGGTACTTCAAGTACTGAGGGATCTTGGGTAATTCATGATGACCGTTTTGGCATCATGGGAGTGAGATAGGATTGTGCTTCACACCGTTGGTAATCGCATGATACCATAGGTAGGTGCACGTTTTCCGTTTGTAGCTCCATTACCTGTTTGATCCAACTTTCAAGCGAATGCAAGATAGTTTGCTAATTCAATTCAATAGGACATACTGGTTGACCTCCAATGCACTTTTGAGAGCGTGATTCGTTCTCCGGTTTTTACATCCACTCATCTCCCTTCCCCGTCGAAGTACGGATGTGGGGGGTGTCAATAGGGATGAGGTCCCAGTATAGTTGCTATACAGGTACATGCCATACACTTTTGGCTCAAGTGCCCAACCAGGTAAAAAGGAGCTTTAGCGCGCGAGCTTCATGTTGAACTAAGGGCTAGAACGGGGCCAGGGCACACCTTTCCATCCGTTCGCACCTTACTAGTAGTAACAAGAAGCTACTAGGAACAAGTGCATCGCTTCTAGTAACAAGTGCCTTACTAGTAGTAACAAGAAGCTACTAGGAACAAGTGCATCGCTTCTAGTAACAAGTGCCTTACTAGTAGTAACAAG